ATATTTTGTTGTATTATTTTTATTTATTTTTCACAAAGCAACACTTTATTTTTGTTGTGACCAAAAAAACAGAGTAAGAGAATAAAAAATGGAAAAGAAAAATATGAGGGAAGAAAAGGAAAAGTGAAAAAAGAAAAGTCCCATTTTACAGACTCAAATGTATCCTGAAAGTTTAGTATTTTTTAAGGTCCCTTTCTAACCTTTGGGTATCACTGTAAGAATACGTCATGCGTGAACCACCTGAGCTAGCCATCCTGTAGTCATTACGAAAGCAATTGGTGCACTAACGGGGCGAAGTGAAAAGAAAAGACGACCCTGGTTCAAGTGTGGAATCCTCTGAGCCCACACTGCCTCAGTGCCACATGGGCATCATCTTCCCTTCTGTAGTGTTTTTAAAGATATTTTTTATTTGTTTTTATGTATATGAATGTTCTGCTGGCATGTATCTAAGTGTACCCATGCGTGCAATGCTCATGGAGGCTAGAAGATGGCACTGGATTCCCTGGAACTAAAGTTACAGATGGTTTTTAGCCACCATGTGGGTGCTAGGAATTGAACCTAGGTCCTCTGAAAGAGCAGTAAGTGCTCTTAACCACTGAGCAGCCTCTCCAATTCTTCTTCTGCAGAATTTTTACTATTTCACTAATACAAATGAGCTTCTGTTATACCACTTACATAACCTACATAAAGAAAAAAGAGTTAAAAATCAGAAAGCAGTAATCTTTTGTTAGCATGATAGAATTATATATAGACTATAGAGGTTTAGATAGGAAAAATTGAAATTAAATGCAGCAAAAATAGCTTGCATGATATATTCAATTAAAGATTATTTGGTTACAATGGTCTGCTAAGCTTTATTGTGCTATTTAAAGAAATTCTAAAATCTTTTAAGCTTTAACCTATCCCAAAAGCATATGGTCAAAATAAAGTTTAAATTGTTCTATAAAATAAACATTTTGATGTAGAATCCTAGCACAGCTGCCTGACACTGGCAGCAAATATGGTGCATGTCTGTGGCAATCCAGAAAACATGGTACTGAGCAGTCACATAGCTGCTGGTGGTCGTGGGTAACTTACTAAACACAGGACAGACTTATCACTCAGAAGAAGAAACAGAATTTGCAGCAATGCAAAGGGGTTTTAATACCTGAAACTATTAATGGTGGCCCAAAGTATAGGGTCAACTGTGTAATTTCTACTTAATCCTTAGGCATTCAGCTGAGTCAGGAATTTTTGTACCTTTTCTGTAAGCATCATGTAGTACTTTTGTAAAGTGCTAAAAATGAAGGAATATTTAAAATAAATTTGTGTGCTTTGAAATAACACAGGAAGGCAACAGTGAGAAAACACTGACATACCAGCAACTGGTTTATGGGTTTAATAACAGTGACGATGAAGATGCACAAAGTTATATATTGAACTGAATTACCTCACAGAAATGCAACACACAAGACGCGAAGGAGGCAGCTCCCGTGAGCACATTTTGTACATATCCTCGGGGCATATTAAATTTTTCAGATACACTCCAAATGTTGTTCTCTTTCAATAAGGAATAAAGAACAAAAGATAGATAGAGTCTGTTGATAATGCCCTTGTCCACATTCTGGAAAGACACAATTAAATACATTTATGCAGTAGATGGGCGAAAGGTAAAGCGAATGAAATTATACTACAGGTTAGAAAGAACAGAATGATTCCACAAAACAGAACTGATTTCCAATGTGTACTTTAGATTATTTGCATTATCAATTTTCCATTTATAAAAAGATTAGGCAATTTGTTTCCAATTTAGACTAAACTTTCTTCTACAGAGAGGGTTGAACTGTCTCCCCTCCCCAGAAAATAAATGTTCAAGTTCTAACACCTGGTACCCAGAAATGTGACTTTAGTTGGGAACAGGATCTTGGCAGCCGCATTTAGTTCAGGACCTCTAATGAAGGCACCCAGAATTTACAGTGGGTCCTAAATTTGGTGATTGGTAACCCTGCAGAAAGGGGAGAGGACACAGGAAGACCAGAAGCAATGTGAGAGGCCTGGATTAGACAGAGGTGCCTGTGAGCAGGAGTGCTGCGGCTGCCACAGCTAGGAGAGAGCATGGGGTACTTTCTTCTTGGAGCCTACTAAAAAGCCAATGTTTCCAGTACCTTAATTTCAGATGTCTAGCTCCCTACACTATTAAGATAGATTTCTGGAGTTTTTTTAGAACTATTTATATTTATGTGTCTATGTGTATGTATGCCACACGTATGTGGGCATCTTTGGAGATCAGAAGAAGTACTGGATCCTCTGGTGCTGGAGTTACAGGCAGTTGTGATCACCCAATGTGGATGCTGGGAACTGAACTCAGGTCCTCTGTAGGAGCAGCAAGCCCTCTTAACTACTGAGCCATTTCTCTAGTCACTGTTTTTGTTTTGTTTTGTGTCCTAGGTATTAAACCCAAGGCCTTGCATTAAGCTAATTATTTGCTCTATTACTGAGCTACCCTCCTACCCAATTTCTGTGCATTTTTGTTTTGTTTTGATTTTGGTCTTTTGGAGACAGGCTCTCCCTGTATCTCCAGCTGGCTTGGAACTCACTATGTAGACCAGGCTGGACTCAAACTCACAAAGTTCCGCCTACCTCTGCCTCCCAATTGCTGGGATTACAGACTTGCGCCACCATGCCTGGCTTCTGTGCATTTTAAAAAAATGTGCATGTATGTGTATATATACCATTTGTGTACACATGCTGGTAGAAGCCAGAAGAGGGCATCAGATTGAATGGAGCTGGAGTTACAGGTGGTGTTAGCCGCCATGTGGGTGGAAGGATCTGAACATGGGTCCTCTGGAAGAGCAGTAAGCACTCTTAACTGCTGAGCCATCTCTCCTGCTCCATAATTTCTACTGTTTTAACTCAAACAATTAGTGGTGATTTGTTTATGGAAGGACCAGGAAATAAACATCAGGAGGGAAGCAGTAAAGTGGGAAAACCTTCACGTTTATGTGGTATTTATACATTGTGTTTGTATACAAATGTTAGACAAACACACATAGATAAATGTTGCTAAGTGTGTCTGTACTATAAACTGCAAGTAAATACTACAGGACAGTTTCCATACGGTCATGACAAATAATGTTTCCAAGGTTGGAATGGTGAAAGGGACAGGAAAATACAGTTTCTGTTCTGTATATCTGCTTTTGCCCATGGTGTCTAGTGATTTTAGTTTTTGTACAAAGTATCTCACTGCTAATTATCAAACTAATGTAGAACAACTTGATGTTTAAAAAATCTGAGGGAAGCCAGGTGAGGTGTTGCACCCATTTAATCCCAGCACTCGGGAGGCAGAGGCAGGCAGATCTCTGTGAGTTCAGGGCCAGCCTGGTCTACATAATGAGCTCCAGGACAGCTGGGGCTACAGGAAGACCCTGTCTCAAAAAGACCAAAAAAAAAAAAAAAAAATCTGAGGGAAAAAAGGGGTTGGAGAGATGGCTCAGTGGTTAAGAACATTGGCTGTTCTTGCAGAAGACCCAGGTTCAAATCCCAGGATCCACATGGCAGCTAACAACTGTCCGTAACTCCAGTTCCAAGGGGATCTGATAGCCTCCTCTGTCCTTTGTAGGCATTGCACGACACGGGTGCACTTACCTACATGCGGGCAATACACGCATACACATAAAATAAAAATAATAAAATATTTAAAATCTGAGCAGAAAAAAAAGGTAGACTTCAAGGAGAAAAATACTTATAATATTATACTGGTTGGTCATGACGGTGCATGCCTATAATTCCAGTACTCAGGAGGTTGGTGTAAAAGGAGCAAGGTCCAGACTACATAGCAGGCCCCTGTCTGAAAATAATACCCTCTACTGTAGTAAAAGAATGTTTCACAAAAAGATTGTTTCACATATCGATGGATTTTGGAGTTACAGATTCTGCATGTTGATAATGAATTATTCTTTTTAAAAGCATACATTGAAAAAGTCTGATAGTTGAATAGTAAGAAAAGATAGCTTTTTACTCTCCACTTTTAATGTGATTTTTACTATCAAGTATAAATTGGGTTAGTATAGGTTTTATTTAGAATGTAGCTCCTAAGCCAAGAAAGATGACAGAATCATTGCATGGTCAGATAGAGGTGTTCATGTCATTTTCAAGGCCTTTTGCAAGAAATGTTAAAATAAGGGGTAGGGGGCCAGTAGGTTAGCTCAGCAGATATAAGTACTTGCTGCTGTACAAGCCTGATGACTTGAGTTTGATCCCTTAACTCTGGGAAGAAGGAGAGAACTGACTCCCCAAAATTGTCCTGACCTCCACATGCACACCATGGTGCACATGCCTGCATACATACAAAGACACACATACATACACACAACAATAACAGAATTAAAAAAAATTGGGCCAGTGAAATGGATCAGAGGGCAAAAGTGCTTGCTCTTCAAGCCTGAGGACCTAAATTCAAGCCCCAGAACCCACATAAAGGTGAAGGAGAGAACCAACTCCACAGAGTTGTTCTTTGACTGCCACATAAGCATTATGGCATGGATGTGCCCCCCTCCCCCAATAATAAAATTAAAGAAATTTTAAAGGGAGGTAGGGGTAGAATGGAGCTATTTTTTTAAAGATTTATTTATTTATTTATTTATTTATTTATTTATTTATTTATTTATTTGTGTGTATGTTTGTGACTGTGGGGGCTCATGTGCTATGGTGTGCACATGGAGGTCAGAGGCTCTTTTGGAATTCATTCTCTCTTACCATCATGTTGACACTGCATATTCCAGGCTGAATAGGACTTGTTTACATAAGTTCTAGGGCTTGAACTCGGATTGAATGGCTTGCATAACACATGCTTTTATTCACTATCTTAGCTTTAACTGTCAACTTGACACAGCCTAGAAATCACCTAACAGGACAACCTCCATTGAGGAATTCCCTAGATCAAATTGGCTTGTGGGCATGTCTGGGGGTGGGCACTGTCTTGAGTATTAACTGATGGAGGACCCAGTCCACTGTGAGTGGCACCATTCCCTGGGCTGGTGGTCTTGGGCTGTATAAGAAAACTAGCTAAGAATGAACCTGTGAGCAGGCCTGTTAGCAAGCAGCATGGTCCATGGTTCCTGCTACCTCTTTGACTGTGAAATAAGTTCCTTGGCCAAAGGTACTGCTGTTCCTGACTTAACTTCTCTCAATGACTAACTGTGACCTGGAAATGTAAGCCAAATAAATTCTTTCTTCCCCTAAGTTCTTTTTGGTTAGAGTGTTTTATTACAACACGGAAGGAAGCTAGGACATCATTTGAGTCATTTTCCCAGCCTGAGGTTCTTTTTCAAAAAGAAAAAGTCAATTACATTCTAAGTAAATACCACTTTCTTTAGAATTTGAAATAATGATACTTGTAAAACATTAAACTAGCAAATAGTTTCATTACATATTTAACTATCAAGTTAACAAACACTGACTATATTATAACACATTTAAATATAAATTCTGTATTCAAATTTTAAAAGATGTTTTATTCTTAGGAGATTTTGCATGTGGCTATTATTTAGTAAGACATCTCAAATTACTATGATTTTGTTTTTTTACTTTACATTTTAGAGGTTAATATAAAAGGTTTTTAAGAAATGTGCTCACGTGTGAGTTGGTGGTGTAGTGGTAAGCACAGCTGCCTTCCAATAAATGTGTTCACATTTTGAAACTCTACATTTGAAAATAGTTGTTTCAAAGGTATAAGAACCAATCTGATAATTACAAAGTTTTAATTTTATAACACAGAAATTCCATTTTTCAAAATAAAACCAGTACTGTCTACGTAAATTTAAGATACAGGGGTAAAATGGTAGGTAAGATCATTTAATGAAAATTAAAAATGAAAAAAAGTATATTGAGCGGAAAAGGATATTAACTTAAAGAAGCTGAAGGCATGATTATCAAAGACTCATTTCTACTTGTCCTATCTAGAATTGCTGATATTGAGTAGGATATTTCATATAAAGTTTCTGGAAAAATACAGCATCTTCTTTAGAGCTCAGAGGCTCTGCTTAGTGGTAGAGTGCTCACCTAGTATGTATGAGCATCTAGGTTACATCACAACACACACACATGTATACATGTATGCATAATACATATTATGAAAACATTCAACTTCAGTTAGTCATAGTATTTAGTTATATGTTATTGTACAAATACTTGAGTGATGGCTCAGCAGTTAAGAGCACTGGCTGCTCTTGCAGAAGATCTGGGTTCGATTCTCAGCACCCATATGACAGCTAACAACTGTCAGTAACTCTAGTTCCGGGGAATCTGACATCTTCTTCTGACCTGGCATTGGTGCACTTATATACATGCAAGCAATACACTCATACACATAAAATAAAATAAAAAGGCATGATAGATTATTTCAGGAAGTCGGCAGAGCAAAGTTCCAGGCCAGCTGGGGCTACAGGGAAAAAAAAAAAAAAAAAAAAAAAAAAAAGAAAAAAAAGAAAAAAAAAGGAAAGAAAAGGAAAAAAGCCAAACACTACCCATTCATCCATTTCTGGTGCTGAGATAGTTTTTAAACAGCAAATTGGGAACAATATCAATTTTAAGAAATATTGTGAAAGAAAGAGGGATATGGTAACTCATGTATCTAAATAACCCTGGCACCTGATCAAGAAGCTCTGACAGGAAGGCTGTTCCAAGTTTGAGGTCTGCCCAGGCTATAGAGTATAGCCGTGTCTCAATGCACCCACCACAAATAAGAAACAAAGAGGTCAAATCAATCAAGGATATGGTATGATTCTAATTTAGGTGAATGAATTCAGCTCACTGTTGGGGAAACAAACAGACGGTACCTTCCTGATGGCCTGCCCTGCTGCTTTCTTCCCGATAAAGCTTTCAGAGATGCCAAGAAAAGCAGCTATAGTTTGCTCTGCTGGACTGAGTTGATTGAACTGCAGAGAAAAAGAGGAAATACATGAAAAACAAAACAAAACCATAGCTTTAAAAAACATCCTGGATTTATTTTTGAGATCACATTTTCAAGATTTTGAAAGATATGAAAAATGACAAAAATTTACAGAAAATATTACCAGTTTTAAAATTACAGTATCAGAATATCACTAGATATAGTACCTTATAGAAAGACTGTCATAAGCTGAACAATATTTCAGTTAACACCAGACTACACATACAAAGTGTCTCCATAAGGGCAGATGACCTAGCAAAGTCACAGCTGTCTTAGTGCCCTAAGCATACTTTGATGAACCTGTCTTACAACGCATTTCTTAGAACACATCTTCATCATTAACTGGAACATGACTGCATAAAGACATGGTGACAAGTACTGGTTTTTATGGGTGATATGGTTGTTTATTATTAGAGAGAGCTGGGAGAGGAAAGAGGGAAGTCTTCAGAAAATAGCTGCATCACAGAGTACCACCTCAAAAACCCACAGTAATGATTTTTAATCTGTAACATTTAAAAAGAAGTTAATTTCCTGAGATTAAAAACTGTATACTGGGGGTTTGGGAGTATAGCTCCATGGTAGAGCACATGTATGGTATACACAGGCCCTGGGTTCAATCTTTAAAATCCAGAAAAAAAAGACTGGTCACAGTTATTGCCTATATGTGTTCATATATGTCCATTCAGCCAGCCTGTTCACAGTAAAATCATGATGCACTTGCCACTTGGTTTTATTAGTTGTAGGGCCAGTTCTAACCGTGTTACTGGCTATAAAATAAATACTCTTTGTGGGGCTGGGGAGATAGCTTATTTGGCAAAGTACATGCTGCACAAGCATGAGGAACTGAGTTCAACCCCCAGAACCCACGTAGAAAGCCAGGTGTGGTGGCACTGCACTTGTAATTTCAGCACCAGGGAGGTAGAGACAGGCGGATCCTGGAGCTTGCTTGTCAGTCAGCCTAGCCTAACTGGTAAGCCTCAAGTTCCAGTGGGATACTGTCTTAAAAAACAAGGTAAAGATGGTTCCTGAGGAATAACACCTGAGGTTGACCTCTGGCCTCCACATGCATGTACACACACATGCACTCACTGAACATGCATACATACACATACACCTCTTTTGCAGTTATTAAAATAGGTGGATTTGGTGAATCATCATGCTGGGCTCTGACAGTGTTCACATAATTAAACTGTCAATCACTGGCCACAGCTTCCACTGTCTTCTTTATACGCTATGCAGTATAAAATGTAGTGGTCACAAGATCTTAGAAGTATGGTCTTTGGGGTAATAGGACTAGGGATAATACTTTTCTCACCTTGGGGTCTTCCTTTCTTAATTTTCTTTGACGAAGAATATTTAACAGATGATGGAGAGATGGCTCAGCCGTTTAAAGTACTGGCTACTCTTGCAGAGGACCTAGGTTTGGTTCCTAGCACCCACATGGTGGATAACAGCCATCTGCAACTCCAGTTCCAGGAGGTTTGAAACCTTCTTCTGGCCTCCACAAGCACTGCATGACTTGGGTACACATACATGCAGGCAAAACAATCATATACATGAAATACAAATAAACAAATTTAAAAAAGAATATTTAACCAAGAGGTAACCTTTGAGACAAACAAGAAAAAAATGTTGTTACCATATTATTATTTTTAAAAACTAAAAAATGAGCCAGGTGTGGTGGCATACGCCTTTAATCCCAGCACTCAGGAGGCAGAGGCAGGCGGATCTCGGTGAGATTGAGGCCAGCCTGGTCTACACAGCAAGTTCCAGGCCAGCTGGGCTATAGGGAGACCCTGTCTCAAAAAGACAAAAATGAAACAAAAACTACTGAAAAATGGAGCTAGGAAACTGGCTCAGTGGGTAAAAGCACTAGCCTAGCAAGCCTGTCACTCAAGTTCAATCCCTGGAACCCATGTAAAAAAGCAGATGTGGAGGCACACATCTGTAATTCTAGCACTTCCCCAGCAAAATTGGAGACACAGACAGGTGGAAGGTAAGAAGTGATTCCCAGAAGTTTTCCTCTGACCTCCACATGTGCACTGTGGCATGAATGTGCCCATGGGCACACACACACACACACACACACACACGCACGCATGCACGCACACACATGCACACACACATAATAAATCTTTTAAAACCTTGAAAGACATATATATATGCTTGAAAATATCATAATACCCATTATTTTGTACAATTAATATATACAGTCATTAAGAAAAGAAAAAAGAAAAACCCTGAAAGACAAAAGGCCCAATTCCAAACATGTTTCAACAGAAGAAAAAAGGTAACCAATCACTTGACAAAAATACTATCATCACTTCCTCACCTGTCTGAAGTATACCATCCAATCAGGGTTACACTGAGAACCAACATCATAGGGAGTTACTAGGTAGACCAGGTGAAGAAAGCTTTCAAGAACGAGGCCTTCAAGACCTTTCTTTAAGTCTTTATATAGAATGTCACAATAAGCCAAATCTATAGTTCCTAAAAGAAAGAAACATTTCATCTTTCAACATCATTAGAGGGGAAAAGAGGTGACTTTTAAACACAGACTTGTTAGCTGGATATGGTAGCACACATCTGTAATTCCAGCACTCAGGAGTTGGAGGCAGGAGAATCAGGAAGACAGCCTCAGCTACATAACAAGACTGAGGCCAGACTGGCTTATATGAGACCCCATGTTAAAACAGTTTGGATTGGCTTGGATTTGAGCCAGTAAAGGTAACCTCTCAGAACTGTAGTTTCCTAGTTTTGAAAGAGGGACAACAAAGCACAGCTGAATCACAAATGAGAAAATATATATTGAAGATTTGGGCTTTGTAAATTGGAATTCCTACACAAATAATGTATGAACGCATATAAAATACACAAGGATATCTATGATTATAGGCATGAGTGTTTGTGCCTACAGTTTTGGTTGTGAGCCTGAGCCTTTAATGGCTGCACCAGCTCTCCAGCCCAGTGAAATTATATTAAATATTTTCAAAGATCAAAAATATAAAGATTTAGTTTTTAATTTTTGGTGTGCTGAGGATCAAACGCAATGCCTCATATGTGAAGCAAGTGCTCTACCGCTGAACATACAGTTCCAGTTGTCAAGGAAGTCTTATTTACAAGTTTACCGAATATATCAATAATTCTTATTTCTCTTGTATGTAATGACTTTGGAAGTTATTCTACTGATAAATAACAATATTTAGAACTTTTTGATCCAACCATTTTTGGGAATCTAGTCAAGAAAAATGTTTCAATGTATACTCAAAATATATAAGCTGAGAATCTCATGCAGCTGCTTATAATTGAGAAAACTCAGAAATAATGTAAATGTTCATAAACAAAAAGATGGCATATGAATTATGTTTCAGTCCTACCATGGATGACTACAGTGTAAAAAGGAAATGAGGCTGAGCCTCATCCTGTAGGCCTACATGTAATCACAGCTGCTAGGAGGTTGAGGCAGGAGGATTGCAAGTTCAAGGCCTGCTTGTGTTACAGAGTGATTTCCCTGCAGGTTTCGTCAACTCAGTGAAGCTTTGTTTCAAAAATAAAAAAAGAAAGTTGGGGATGTGGCTCTGAGGTAGTATGTTTGCCTAGCATATGTGATGCCCTGGGTTCAATCCCCAGTAGCATTACCACCACACCATCATGGGGGAAAAAAAAAGAAAAGGGGGCTGGAGAGATGGCTCAGCAGTTAAGAACACTGGTTATTCTTGGAGAAGACCCGGGTTTGAATCCCAGCACCCACATGGCAGCTAACAACTGTCTGTAACTCCAGTCCCACGGGATCCGACAGCCTCTTCTGACCTCCATGGGACTTGCTGGACATGGGTGCACTTACCTACAAGCAGGCAATACACGCATACACATAAAATTGAAAAATAAATAAATAAAATTAAAAAAAAGAAATGAAAAATGAAAAATGTGATAGATTTAAAGTAATTGATCTGCTAAGACATTCATGATTATGATAGTTTATAAATAAGGATGACTCCATTAGAAAGTTAAATGATGTACATTTAAACACATGTTTACATGTATACAGAAAAATACAGTCAGGTATGACCTGCCAAGGAGCATAAACAGCTAAGATAAAATGGCTACAATCTTTTGGGCCACTGTGATAGTAATGATATGGTCAGTGATTTGGAAGAGTATATATTAAACTGTTACCAGTAGTAGCTCCTGGTGCATGGAACTTCTAGTAAGACTTTTTTTTTCCTTTTCTTTATGTGTTTATATTCACACGTGTGTGCATGTGTGCAGGTAAGTGCATGTGCATGTGTGTGCATGCATGTTTAGAGACCAGAGGATGAAGTCTGCTGTTTTCCTCAGTTATTCTCCATCTTACTTTTTGAGACAGGGTCTCTCACTGAACCAAAAGCTCACTGATTTGGCTGGGTTGGCTGGCAGTGAGCTCCAGGGATCCTCCTTATCTCTGACTCCCCAGTTCTGGGATTATAGACACATGCTGCTGTGCCTGGCTTTCTATGTGGGTGCTGGGGATCCGAGCTCAAGTCTCCATGCCTGCACAGCAAACACTTTACTGACTGAGCCACCACCCCAGTCTAGAATTTATTCAAGGCCAGCCTGGTCTACACAGTGAGTTCCAGGACAGCTGGGGCTACAGGGAGACCCTGTCTCAAAAAAACAAAACAAAAGAAAAAACAAAAACAAAAACTTAAATCTGTATAAAGCATTCATTATGAATAGAAGTGAAATCCACAGAAAAGTGTGAGAAGACACACACCCCTTGGTAGGCTATTAAGCTGTGTGTAGAAGCTAAAGGGAGTATGAAGGCAGCATGACCATCTTTTCCTCTATACACTTGTGTAGTATTTTAACTACTTATAATTAAAAATATTTTTCAAATTTTGAAAGTTGAAGTAACATAAAATTAATGCTATTAATATGAAATCACAAATCCAATTTAAAGAAAGGGAATAATTTAATTTATATTTTTTCCAATACCCTCAGATAACAATGGGATTTAGGTAAACACTCACCCTTAAAGGAAGCTCGTCCTAGTTTTGTAATGTGAAAATGACAATGTGACCCTTCTTCAGAATTTTGAGAGTCCTTTTGCAGGAGTCCTTTCTCTGTCAGGTATCTAAGTGAGTCAACAGTTATTTCCCAGAGACTTTTTTCTTTCAGTAAAACCTTTTGCTGAACACCAAAAAACGTACCATTCACAAATTGATATATGTCATCAAGATTTGTTGCAATCTGGAAGAATTCAGGACATCATTGGAAATTTTCCTTAGTTCAAAGAATTACTTTGTGCATTAATCAAGATTATTCACTTCTATACATTAAAGCTATTCAAATGAAAACTAGCATAAAATATACACAATTGCAAAATTTAATGAGAAAAACAACTGAAGGGAGAAGCTAGTTACCATATTCATGCTTTTTATGAAAGCATGTACACATTGTCATCAAAATGCTTTTAGCATCTATATTATCTCCAAAGCTGTGCTCTATTTATTCCCCAATTTTCACTAACTTCCCCCAGCCTCCTTCTGGAATCCTCTCTTCTCCCATTCTGCCTACTCATGGAAGCATTCCTTAGTGCTAAAACCTGCATTACAAGTGAAAAGGAACATGGAAACAGCTGAAAGAACCCACTGTGACAGTGTCAGGCAGTGCCGTGCCAGAGATGCTGCCTAGGAAATTGTACTTCACTGCCCCTCTGCTGCTTCTCTCATTCTCACAGGCTTTCCCTCCTATTCCTCATTTACAACAGTGATCCTAAATACACTGCACCCTCCACTTGGTATTCAGATACAAAACTCACTCTGAATTAGAATAATCTTTTATTAGCCAATTTCAATGAAATCAGCATGTTACACTAAAATACGATCAATCAATATTTCTCTCTTACAGTCCTCAACTGGCATATTTAAATAGCCATTTCATAGTAAAACAATATAAAGGATAATAAAAATATTATCATCCATTTTTCTATTAGCAACCTCTCTTCTTTTTAATAACGATCATGCTTAATATTCAATTAAGCTGAAATGCACTTATAAGATATTCAGTTCATGGATCATTAATGTACTTAGTTTCCATATTGTTTCCTTCCTGACTTATTACAGTTAACACAGCAGGATGCCAGGGGGGTAGGTCCAGGAAGCACCTTTATTTGATCCATCTACCTGCCTTCCTGCTACCTTCCCACTCCTCTCTGAAAAGCTTTGACTTAATTTAAACCTTCTGGGCTAGCCTCTACCTTTCAACAACTCCAAAGTCAAGTTCATTAAAATATTTACTGAGTGCCAACCACATGCATGAACAATATAAAGCACTAGGATTCAATGATCAACAAAAAGAAATGTGAGCCCTACTTTAACAGGCCTTTTACAGAGAATAATGTTATGAGCCAAATAGTAGTTACAAAAATATAGTTTCAAACTGGTAGCTGCTGTTAAAGGAAAGAAACATAGTTCTAGAAAGCAAACAATAGATTGACTAGACTCAGAGGTGGAGGAAAAGCATCCCCAAGCGTGATGATTAGGCTAAAATTTGAAGGTGAGGAGGACTTAGTTAGATAAGGGAGCAGACTGAGCGTGAGGCTGGATGTAGGGAGAAAGACATAGGGAGGCATGTCCCAAATGTATGGAGTACTAACATACTCAAAGCATCTTATGTTAGAAAAATGAAAACAGAAAGTCAGGATGTCTGGAATGTGGAGTGCAAGAAGTCTGTAAGAGATGTGGTTGCAGAGACAGGCATGGGCCGCATCAACCATAGACACTATGATGAGGAATGTGGGCTTAATCTTTTTTTGGGGGGGGGCAGTTCTTTGAGACAGCGTCTCATGTAGCCCATGCTGGTCTTGTACTTTAATCCTTCTGCCTCCACCTTCCAGGTGCTGGGATTATAGGGATGTGCACTACTTTTGGGTTTAATCTTAATACCAATTGGAAATCTGTGACAAAGTTTAAGTGGAAGGAGAGATATAGTCAGTTCACATTTTGTAATCATTCTATGTGTAGAATTACTTGGAGGGGATCCAGGATAGCCAGGTAGTAGATATAAGGACACCACTGATAGACCAGGAAAGTGATGATTCAGGTGAGAGACATAATGTAGACCCAAGCATGCAGTGCAGAAATACAATCGAAAGCAACCTCTTGGGGATTTTTTGGTCTTTTTGAGGCAGCGTTTCCTTATAGCCCCAGCTGGCCTGGAATTTGCTATGAAGATCAGGCTGGTCTCTAACTTACAGAGATCTTCCTGCCTCTGCCTCCCAAGTGCTAGAATCAAAGGTCTGCACCACTATGCCCAGCTCGACCTCTTTTGGCTTCCAATTCATTAACAGCAAAACAGAAATCATAATCCTGTGTGAGGCTTGAAGATAAAACATGTGAAGTGTCTAGTAGGGTGACTGAAACACGGTTTTGATAGATAACTGGAGGCTCACTGACTCCCATGGTACAGCTGTTATGTTCTCTTACTTCCTGGAGTAGAATGGTTTGCCCCTTCCCTGTGTCTAATACTTAATACAGGTTTCTTTTTCAAACTCAACACTAATTACTTTTCTTCCTTTAGTCTTTCACTCTTCTAAGTAGCCAGGTGATGGTATAATGATTATAACATTCATACTCAAAACTTGTCTTGTGAAATCCCTTTTATTTATCAGTTATGTCTTTTACTTTTATTTCAAGTGTTGGTACCAATGAAGGCAGACTATATGGTGAACTAAGACAATGGTTTTGTAACTGGACAAAACCAAATTCAAACTCTGGCTTTTAGTGCTTTGTGGCTGACTAGACTTGGACACAAGGGTAAAATTTAAGTAACTCAAGAATAAATATAAAAGAGATCAACTAAGGAGTAACCCTTAAAAAAAGCTAATTTCTAATCCCAGTATTTTCTTCCTATCCAATAAAGGCTGTACAGATATCTCAAATGTCTTTTGCATTTTTATAAACCCATCATGAACTGAAAATACTGTAAGTGAAAAATGCATTAACTATTCTTAGTCTATGCAACTTCATAATTAGTAACACTGTACTCTATAGACTATTGGTTGCTGACCATGATTGTACAGCGGTGGCTTACTATAGCTGCACTGGGCAGGAGTACTGTACTATAAGCACCCCACTTTTACTGTGGGCAGAGGTGACAGACTGACACATAGTGGGGCACAATGTGTTTGGTTTTTTTTTGGTCTTTTTGAGACAAGGTCTCTGTGTAGCCCCAGCTGTCCTGGAACTCACTATGTACACCAGGCTGGCCTTGAACTCAGAGATCCGCCTGCCTCTGCCTCCCGAGTGCTGGGATTAAAGGTGTGCACTACCACGCCTGGCTTATTTAGTTTTTTTTTTTTTGGTCTTTTTTGAGACAGGGTCTCCTTGTAGCCCCAGCTGTCCTGGAATTCACTATGTAGACCAGGCGGGCCTCGACCTCAAAAAGATCCACCTGCCTCTGCCTCCCAAGTGCTGGGATTAAAGGTGTGCACCACCACACCCAGCCTCCAATGTTTGATAGTTCCCACAATATCCATCTAAGCTGTTAACTTTTGATTAAGTATCAATTACAATGTGATTTTTATATTTCTTATAACTGAAGAATTAAAAATATATACATAAACCCAGATTATATTCTTCATGTCACAGACTATTCTTTTCCTCATTAGATTTGAAATTAACATTTCTTTCAAATTTAACAGTTTGCCAATATTTTAAAAATCTTGATTATCTGAGGTAAAAATAGAAATATTTAAAAAGATCTTTAAAAAGTACCTTCAAACCAATTAAAGAAAGAAACAAACTTTGGATTCCCTTAGTGAATTCCTGAACAAGATGGCTATAGCAGTTTTCCAGTGGTCTGTTTATTAGTTCCAAGACCTATAAAAGTTAAAGCAATATTATTTTTTTGTGTTATTACTAAATATAAGTGGTGTTCCACATAAAGACTTTATACTTTGTACAAATCTTGGAAAGTCCCAAACCCCTCCAAAGCCAAACAAAATAGTATCTTAAAAAGATAGAACAAGAATTTAAATGTATCCTAACAAAATAAAAATAGATAAAATATGTTTCTTATTGTCTGGAATATAAAAGTATTCAAGCTACTCTTTCTAAATTTTTTTTTTTTTATTTTGTCTTTTTGAGACAGGGTAGCCCCAGTTGGCCTGGAACTCCCTCCGTAGATCAGGTAAGCCTCAAACCCACAGAGATTGCCTACTTCTGCCTCCCAAGTGTTGGGACTAAAGGCATGTTCCACCATGCCTGGCTTCTTTCTAAATCATAATCATATAGGATATATTATTAAAGGAACACTAGCAATCAATTTTTAAGCAATGATCTCAGATAAGGAGGGAAGGGTATACAAGGAACCTAGGGGATAAGGGGAAAGAAGGAGCTCAAGAGAGGTAGGACCGTAGGAGAAGGGTATTATTAAGGGAGAAAGGGGGGAAATGGGGGCACCTTAAGTGGGAAAACTACGGTGGAGGGGTGAGACAATGCGAGAGATAAATAATGCCTAGCTAGTTTTGAAAACCAG